TGGGGAGGGGAGGGGGGGGGGGGTTAGTGCTGCTGGAAAGCTTCATAAAAATACAATAATGACAGCCCATAGGTTCGGAACAACAATAAAATGTTATTGCTCGTCTAAATTGGGCTCTTTAAAACTTGTAATAATTAAGATGCTGTAATGAGGCCCGTGGTGCACAAAGCTTCGAGTGTGCAGTTCAATTAAATTAATAGCACCAACGTCTAAGTCAGGTGGGGCTAAAAACAACAAAAATAAAATAAAAAATAAGTTTAAACTACATGCTAACCTACGGTTGTTGTTTTTGTTTTTTTGGGGCCAACAAATATCTGCTATAGTGTTTATGTCTTGATTTATTTATTTTTACTTACTTGAGTCAACGCCTTAGAAGTTAGACTCGTCAAAACAAGCCACTAATGACTACGGGCGGTCGTGAATAAACAACCGGGTTAATTAACAGCCTGTTTTGTGTTTTTACAACTTCAACTATGTTGCAATTCCATTAACATGTAATTGAGGCCATTTGGCGGCCTGAACTCTTGCTGTATTGTGATGCGTGCCACGGAGGGGTGCTGCGAATAATCTGCGACTGCGATCTGAAAGCGGGGTCGTCGCAGGCGTGTGGCGATATTAGCTTGATAAGGATTGTTTGCGGAAAATCACCGCCGCGTCAAAAGTATCGCACGCTACCTGGCAGTGCAACGGGGGGTTACGCACATTTCTGTGTGCCTTCATGCTTGAGATTAAAAATTTCAAATCGAGCCAGCCAATTTCCTACAAACACCGCTTTAGTTTAACACTCATTGGCAAGAAGCCGCCCCGTCTTCGCCCTTTGGTCACCATACGTACCGCCACCCGCACTCTCTGTTCCGGGCACTTTTATTAAAGTCTTGGCGACCAAAGTCGGCGCTACTTTTCAATCCAATTCTATGGACCAAAAGACTGGAATTCTCTGCAGCAAATATTAAATTCCCTTCATTCATTTCAATACAATTCATAGTTATATCATAGTTTACAGAGGGCTACTGTACATGATCACCACACCTGTTTGGAACTTGTTATTCACCGTGTGCAATGATGAAACGTTAAGTAACGGTATCACACCATCGTTTGTCATCCATGTGTTTAAATTTGTTGGGGTGGGCTTTCGTTTTGCTGCCTGTTGGGAAGGTCAGCGCTGCAAATGAGAATCTGTTCTCAATTGCCTTAGCTAGCTAAACGACGGTTAAATAAAGTATAAGTAAAACGAGGACAGCTTCCCGAGCTAGCTGCCATATATCAAATGTGCGCTTGTCTTTGTGGTCTCCAAGGGACAACGTCGGACGGTATCACATCAATTCCTCGTAAAAACCATTCCGATCCTATTCAAAATACATCTGAAAATAAATTGGCATTGTTCACGAGCGTAAATAAAAGGAACTTGAGGGGTTGTGACAGACGAGAGTCGGCGACAAGCTCGCATTGTTTACGTGTACGGCAAAAGGGAGAACATGAAAGGCAAACGGATAACGCCGAAAAAGATGCCTAAACTAAATGTAAAAACTTCTGAGGGTAACCGCGGTAGCTTGTGGGAGATTTTTGGTAGACGCTGTCCCATTGCACTACACGCGAGCTATTTTTACAGTAAATACCCATGAGAGCCGGGGAGAAGAGAACAAGAGTTGAAGCAAAGCCCCTAACTCCTCACTCTGATCATGTTACGTCTTTTACTTTCTTCCTCAAAGTGTGTTTTTGAAATGAACTATTAAACGGGATCACATTTCATGCAGATGTCGAATCTGGTGGGTCGGGTGGGTGAGGCAGCGAGAAGGGGGCACTGGCATTTTGCGCAGGAACATTTCCTTTACAATGAAAACAATCTAACCAACTGCAGCACTCAGAGGAATTCACCTCCCCCTCCCCCCACGTCACCCCGCCACCCCCTCCTCCTCCTCCTCCCCCAACAGCACCATTACATTTCCATATCAAAGCCCCGAGTTCAAAGCGAGTCTTCTCTTTCAAGAAAGGGAGTGAGGCTGAGGCAGAGAGGACAACACAGAATCAGTAGGAGTAGACCCAAAGACCGAGTTCGCTTTTATCCTCCTTCACTGCGCTTGTACTGTATGTGAGAGGGAGCGAGCGAGCAAGACAGAGAGAGAGAGAGAGAGAGAGAGAGAGAGAGAGAGAGAGAGAGAGAGAGAGAGAGAGAGAGAGAGAATGTGTGTGTATATGCACTGACAAGTGCGTGTCAGTGTGGGGGGGAACTGCATAAAATGTGTGGAGCTACAAGAGGGTTACTGATTGGGTCTTCCAAAAGCAGTGCCGAAGAGGAGTCAATTCCCATTCCGCCAGCACATAATGGAGCCTGCAGGGGGTCTTATGAGGGAGCGGAGAAATGCCAAAGCAGGTAACGGTGCAGCGGGGAGGCCGCTTGCGTGGCAGATGGCCAGCAGCTAACCAGCAAAGCCAAATAGTTCTGCATCTTCGGATATTCACCTCCAGTATGGAGCTATCTTTGAACTAACCTCCATGCCCCCTCCCCACTCCCCCCGCTCCTGCATTCGGCTTACTGTACGAAGAGAGCTTCTCTCTCTAGTGGGCTGCGAGACTAAATGTGAAAATCAAAGTGAATGGCATTAGGGTAAATAAAAGCACCGGTTGCCAAGGAAACGGTGGTATACCCTGCCCCAGTCACTCAAGCCTAGCCTGTACTTTTCTCCAATCACTGGAGAGCAATAATACATTATTGACAGAGGCCCACGGCAGGCAGCAGTGCAGCATTTTCAAATTGTATTTGAACAAGAGAGGATTTTTTTCCCCCCTTTTCTTCCAGAAGATACACATGTGAGAGGCAAGCACACAGGGGAAAGAGAAACCAAGGAAGGGGGATACGAGGGTGGTGGGGGGGGGGTTCAAAATCCCACCCATTCCCACTA